GAGCCTTGTATTAAATTTTCAAGTTTTTCTATGTAACAAATACATTTTTATCGATGTTTATTYAAAAAAAACTAATAATTATCGAAAATTTCATATGCCTATAAATAGTTCAACTTAAGTCGAAATTTKTTTTTAATTGCATGGTGGATAAAATATACTTATTTAAACATTTGGTGAAAATTTCATGTATTTATGGTCATTTGTTTTATAGTTATATCAAAAATCAAAATCAATTTTGTCGAAAACTGATTGTGTGTAAAATTCCCGTTTTTTCCTTAATTTTTATTTTGTTTATCCCGATTATTTAGAAAAATATTATGAATTTCTTACTTTTGACCCCCTGTAAAAGCAACTAGATTCACTTTCTGATCTAACAAGGTATTGAAGTCGAAAATTAAAATATTATTACTGTCCCAAAACGTGATGGTAGACACACAAAAAAGAAAAAAACATATCAAAAAAAAAACACACACACATCATGATAAAATCAATACATTCTTCGCTCCGCTCAGAATCTAAAATATATAATAACGTCGTCGTCATTAAAACGAATACTGTATATACCGAAGGTATTAATACATATAGTATATACAATATACAGTCAACTGGCAAAGGTATATACAAATAATTACAAGTCAATTAGGTATAGCGATATTATCATTATCATGAGTGTATAATTTTTATTTACATAAATATATATATATAAATAGGTGTATAACATCTGGCTATGCATAATGGTATTTAAGCTTCGGCTTATATAGATTAAATAATGTATTGTATTATTATCATAACTTACTTTTTTCATCATTGAATGTGTATACGTAGTAGATAATTATCAAGCTTTTAAAGTCGAATTGAAATAATTGTTGTGTTTTAGTCGTCGTAAAGTAGGGTAAAAACATAATTGACGAAACATATTTTTCGGTTTGTAGCTGATGTTGTCTACAAAAACACTTGTTGTGTTATGAAGATTTTCAAAGAGAAAAAATAAAACTGGGGCGAAACAATCAATTTTGGGAGTTTCCCAAATACGGTAGCGCATGCTCTGTTACCTTTTGACCCTTTTATATAAACAACTACTGATATACTTATCATATCAGCGCTAAATAAACCTAGATTTATCATATTATACAAATCTAATTAATAGTTTTTATGTATTTAATTGGTAAAATTTTTACACCGTTAATAATATATAATTAAATTATTATTACCATAATTAAAATAAATAAACTTGTGAAAAAATAACCTAACTTAAAAATGAACATATCGTCACTAAGTTAAATTACCTATATAATTTCATTTAAACTCAAATTTGAGATGTTTATACTTTAAATACTTATTGTTGTTCTTTTAGATTCTGAGCGGAGCAAGGAATGTATTGATTTTTCCATGATGTGTGTGTGTTTTTTTTATGTCTGTCATCACGTTTTGGGACAGTAAAAGTGCTTCGATTTTCGACTTCAGTACCTCGTTCGATCAGAAAATGAACCTGGTTGATACTTTAGGGGGTCAAAAGAAAAAAATAGAAAAGCTTGAAAATTTAATACAAGACTCCTAACATAATTTTACAATAGCATCATGCAGTTAAAAAATAAAATAAATTAATAGTCACAATTTTTTTTTATAAGCATTCAAAGTTTGAATTTTTACAACATACCTAGGTACGTAAAAATCACCAAAATTTGCTAATTATTTTAAGCTAGAAATTCATAAAAAATGTTCTTTTTAAATCTAAGATTTGAAAATTTTTAATAATCTATAATATATCCTAGACAGATAAACCGTACCCGTTCAGAATCGTTTTTCGTATACAATAATTATTATATCATTGGATTCAAATTTAATTCCATCCATTACAGTATAAACTTACCGTTAATAACTTACTGTACAGCAGAGTGACATCCACGACATACCTACCCAATTTTTTTTATTGATTATGTTACTAATATTACTATGTTATGTGAATTTCGCGAATTATTTTTAAGAAAATAACTAAAATAATAAAACAGAGAAAGTTTAGCTTTTCTTTTGTGGTGCATCTGTATTTGTGTGCATGCGATTATAATAATAAAATTGCATATTTATAGCGTAATTTTTATTTTTTTTCTCAGTCCCATATACATCATAGATAAAGCATATTGTTCAAGTAAAATCCTTTTATTTTTATGATTTTTTAGTAACTAATAAAGACAGCAGCAGATTTGCTAATATTTTTGTCTCGGGAAATTGCCACGTGACCGTTCTAAACAATATAGGTTATATTATAATTTATAATAATTTTTCATAAAAAACCCTTTAATTACTAGAAGTATTATTGTTATTAGTTATTTATAATTTAATATAATATACTTTTAACATTTGAGCATGTAACTTATTTTTATGATCACCCGGATTAACGACTAAATTCACTTTCCTTGAAGAAAAGATGCTGAAATTGTGCAATTTTAGTGCCTTAAAAGCGATGACAATCACAAAATTTATTTTTAACACACCATTATAAAATAAATCTGTTCATCACTTTGCCCAGAATATAAAATATCAAAACAAATTTTATAAAAATATTGACGGTTTAAAATAAAATTAAGTAACTATTGTGCGTACTACTTATATGTACTATACTTACTATACTACGCTGCCAAAGTAACATCCAAAATCGTGATACGAGTATACGACAGCAAATGTCATAGACCAGATCAATATTATTAAACAATTTATAATATCCAAGTTTTAATATGAGGAACTTTCCCGGTATCCTACTGGGGCAATCCACCACTGATTATCAACAAATAGATATAAAAATTATAGAGGATAATAGTTTTGAGTGTTTGAGATATGGATCTTATATTGTATTATTATTTGACTTTAGAAAAAAAATTAATGGGTTATAAATTTCTTTGGGACAATATTTAGACAAATCGATATGCCTAGTGCCTACCTTCAACAATATTATTCTCTATAATCTTTATATTAGATAAATATATTTTAAGAAAATATCAAAACTGATTTTGCGTGTATGCATTTTGTTTATATGTTGTGCGTGGGCCTGAGAGAGAAAACAAACAGCGTTCTCGACATTCTCTTAAGGAAAATAAATATTATAATGCATATTATTTATACATTATACGTTTGTACGTGCATGGTATAAAATTAAACACCAAGTACAATCCTGATTATGATGGTTGATAAGATATTAATAAAAACCATTGATCATTTTTCATTATCGTTTCTTATTTCTTACATATATACACGTAAAATGGGTAAGGCGGTCTTTTAAAAATTTGCAACGTGGTCAATTGGTTTTCAAAATAAAAATTCAGACTCAGCATATTCTACATAATATATTGCTGACCTGACGCGTGCAGTACCTAATAATATAGGAATATTATATGTTTGTATTGATTAAAGAAATATTAGAGAGGCTGTTTAAGTATGATAGATGAGTTATTGGGAGCTGGGAGCTTGGTATGTAGTGTAAAAAAAGTTTTTATAAAAACACCAATTATATACCTAATATGTAAATATATAATATTGTGCATTTAATAGTTGCTCTGCGGATAATTTGGTCTGTACTCGGTACCTAAAATACAACGTGATATTATGTTGTGTTATTGTTATCGCCCCCTACGGCCTACATTTCACATCTTCAGTCTTAAGAAGACCATTTAATTAATGTTCTCGTATGGTGTTATTATTTTATACGGACGTCCTGCTGACCGCCGCAGCCGCCGCCACCGTTGCATCGGTTGGTAGCGGAATTTCATTGGGTGTCCATCCGGCCGTCGCGACAACTGCAGTTGATTAGACACCGGGCGGCATTGGGCAGAGCGGCAGATGTTCCGGCACGTGAACAGCTTGCATTTTGTCTGCCGCGCCGGTACGGCTGCTTTCGACCAGGACGATGTTCACACCAGCCGCGGCGTCGAAGGAACCATAAAAATATATATTATAATATTTTTTTAAACCGCGGTTGACCGGTCCCAATAATTCAATATCACCACGCGCGCAATAATATTTTTTATATGTATATCGACATATTATTATGACATTTATCGTTTCGAATGATGTATGCAAATTATTATGATATTTTTATCAATTTGATATTATTTTTGAAGTATAATATTATTAATATTATGATGTATAACGGCAGAGCTCGATCATCAGATATCCCGCAAAACAGTCGTTAAAATTAAATCCTGTTTTGTTCGCAAGTTTGATATGCCAAAAACTGTCGGTGGATGGTTGGATGGGTAAGAGGGGAGCCGCTGAATACAATGGCAAAACGTCTTATTATTGTCGCACCCATAATTGTATATATTATATAATATCATAATATTATATAATATATATAATATATATATATATATATATATATATATATATATAT